GGACCAATTTTCCATGAGCGCCTTTGTTAGAAATTTCATGTAGACGCGGTATATGCATATCCATCACTAACCCAATTTCGAAGTTAAATGTGTACAAAATTTCATTTTCTTGGGATAAATTTAGACGATGTGACAGCTTCAAAATCATATTTATTTTCAACACCCTCGCACGTCGGATAAAAATTTCGCAGATAAGTACCGGATTTTTTCTAATATGCAAATATGAATCCGAAACAGCGGCTCTTTATAATTCATTGTAGCGCAGGGAGAAAATGTTACGATAACTGGGTCGCAATTAATAAGTAATTAATGCGATCTTTAAAAAAATACGCAGCTGCCGGGCAGACGACTCGGCGTCACGGCGATAATTCTAAGACGGATTACTTTTTGTCAGCTGAATTTTGTCAAATAGTTCATTTCACTAATAGCTTAATATAAAATGGTGTAATTATGCCAATCAAGTGACGCAGAAAAACGCGAAACCACTCATTTGGAAGCTATCTTGGCAGATCTAATATCAACATCTCATCATGGTTGTCGCATTTCGTCCTGCACGAATAGCAATTTCTCTAAATAATAAACATCCTTCACGCGAACCAATAATGCCACCCCTTTGAAAAACAGCTAATTCATTCAAATTATTGCGCATACACACCCTAAGCATTCACCAGCAAGAATAAGGAACATGAACTTGGAAATATTCCCGCATAAATTAATTACGCGTTATTAAAATCCCTGGTAAATATCGGTTGTTTTCTCGTTTCTTCGAGTAATCAAAATCGATAAGAAATTTCATTTATTTCAAATTCAAAACGTAAACATTGACCCTTCCAATTTTTTATTAAATCCAAGATCTACGGCGAAAGCCGTCGACTTAAAATTAAAACGCAAAATAAAATTTAATTTACATATTTAGCGGAAATAAATTTGTACAGCGTTGGTTGGTATTTTCTAAAACGACGCGTATTTTGGTTAAATTTATATTACGGAACAACCGACATTTTAGAGAAGCATTAAATTAATGTATAATAATAACAATAAAAGTGCCATGAAAAATAAAACAAAACCTCCTTTAGTTAATGCTCTTTTCACCGTTGTGCACATTCAAGAGCAATCATCATTTATGAACCATTCAAAAATAATCAAAATTTATACCTTTCCCTACTTTTTCACCCAGGGTTATAAAATTATTATTCATATACAGGCCTCGTTTCTTGACAGCGACATTCATCTTTCTTAGAACATCAAAAAACAGTTTTTGCGTAAATTATATCCCAGAAAAGTTGCAAATTAGCATTGTAAACACACCACGTGTCACTTAATTTTTTCCTGCCACCTCGAAAAACGTAAGATTCACCACTTCAATTTATCATCTTACAACGCGATTTCACTAAATAATTGGGAAAAACTGTGAAAGCGAGAATTTAAAGTAAGCTAACAAGGTAGCCATTTCATTTTTTCCATTAAACTTTTTATAACTATTGAAAGCATATATGCTTCTTCAATTATACGATTTGATTGATAGTCTAATAGTTAGATCGTTTTCTCTATACAAAAATACGTATTTTATTGGTAGCTGACGTAAGTTAATACACATATTTTTAATGTTGCGTAAAGTCAGCTCGCTTCGCTCGCTTTCTTGGTACAATAACACGATAAACAAATAAAACCAGTGCCACAAAAAAAAACAATAATTATTATACCTGTGCAGAGTTGTTCTAATACGCCTCTGTGCATTCATCGCGTTTAGTTTATTAATATTTAACAGTCTCTTGACGTTCCACAAGACCAAAACGACCCTCGACATAAACATTTTTTATAATTATATTACATTTTCAATGTTTATTTTATACCTTAACTCTACACTGTCAGCTTCAGTGCAGGCGCTTTAAAATAACAGAAAAATCTTTACGTGGAACTGGAACACAGTCGTTACATAAGCACTTCTGCTAACACAACAATAGAATAACAACACTATTTCGCTTTTTCACAAAAGATTCTTTCGCAATGTTGGAACGTTTCATAACATAACATGTTTTTTTTTGAAAGATTTAAAATTATTTTCTTTGCCGTAAACGATTTCATATACTTTTCTGCATAAGAGCATTAATTACGAGTACACTGAATGGCAGTTACATTGTTTTCGATATCGGAGGCGAGGTTCATTAAGGACTCAATGGTCTTAAAAAATTTTGTTTTTTTCAACTTCGCGAAAACAAAACACTTCTTCTACAATTTAGGTTTAATTGTGTTTTAAAAGGAGCATAAAAAATAATAAGATTACTACCTTTTTAATATGAGAACAAAGAATAACGATATCATTAATAAACTCCTTATTTCTTTTTTCATCCTAATGAGTTACTAAGAGAATTAATAAAGCTCTTCTTATCGGAGAAAAGAAGGATGCTTTTTTTACGCACAGCCGGGAAATTCTTTAACCAGCAGTTAAAAAAGGAGATCATTTACAAGCCCTATTACTTTTCATTTAATTCATTAATTACCGTCGAAGTAAGTCACATTAACCGAAAAAGTTTTTCTTTCGTAGAGCGCGAAATATTTACTTTCGTACTCCATCGGTTTCGTTGCGATATTTTCGTGAACAAAACAAAAATAAGAGAGAACTTCCGTACGAAAATATTTCACATTCGGCGAAGATGAAAGGCTGTGCCATTAGGTCACATAAAAAAATAACGGATGTGAGAAGTTGTTTTCTATAACGAGAAAATTGTCGGTAATTTCGTTACGTCTACGTTAGAGGATTTTTGTTATAATGAACACTTGTAGCGGCGAAAGGGAAGCGCTTTCTCCGTTTTTGTAAATAGTAATGTCTTTAAAATTCGTACTACTATTTGCCGGAAGCTTCCTAAAGCTTTCAAATTAATTAGGTCGAAAAAGTTCTTTATGCACAAGAGATTAGAAAAATCGAGTATAAATTTTTTTAATGGTGAAAAAATGTAAATGCGGCACCGCAATTGTCTAAGAAGTAGTGATAAAAGTAAAAGAGAAAAGGAGATACTGGTTGTAATTAGTAGATTAGGATTTTAAGCTCCTTGTCGAGGGCTGTGCGATCCAATAATCACTTTTTACCGCAACTTCTCTCCACGCTACATTGACCACCTCTTGCATCCCGAAAGTGCAGTCAAAGGAAAAAGGACAAAAAGTTCAACTCCAACTTTCTTAATATTACATATCAACTGCTCCAATCCCGTGCACTTTGACACCAATTTATACCTGTAACACATGGGAACACGAACCCAAAACGCTCCCAGAAAATTTAATCAAAACCTCTTACAACAAACACAATTAACTCCACTTTATTAAAACGCCGCTTCAAATCAAAACCAATATATCCAAACTATTCCCCTGAAATATATCATTATGAAATTATATCGAACAAAAAAGCTTTTTGTATGGAGACCGCACAGCGCGCTACCAAACCCGAATTTATTAAAAATGCATCGGAGCGCAATTTACAATAGCACACTTTTCTTCTCGAAACAGCGTTCAAGAAGTGTTTTATAAATCATGAGGAAAACCTACCGTTTGATTAGGATTGTTGGCCATCTGTTTTTGTCGCCGACCCTTAACAAAAAGTAAATCGTCACTCTTCGCTTACACGGACGAAGTTCTGGTGAATTTGTGAGACTCAACCAAAAAGTCTCTCAAGGGAATGCAATTATCCATTAAAATCAACAAAAAAGTCTAAGTAAATTTTAATATCTCGAACAAAGTACGAACTGTTCACAAACACCAATTTTAATTTGAATGATTGCACAAATTTTTACTTCTCGAAAAAAGTCATTCGACACAATTCCAATCTTTGACGTTTCACGAATATAATAGAATATAAATAAAAAAGAGTGCGTCGACCCAGGGACGCACGGATGGAGTTTTAACTTTGCGTTGTCAATTTATATAAATTAAAGACATATACGCGGCGAAGTAATTAATTTTATCTTAAAAAATAATAAAAACCAAAAATATGTTGCATTTGTATTTTTTGTATTATCAATTGTTGTTTATTATAAAATATACTTTTCTTATTTATTTATCATATAGAAATATCATAGTTAATTATTATAATAATATTGTATAAAAAAAAAAAACTGAAGCACAATGTGTAATTTACCAACTAAAGTAACAAGTAAATATTTACAAATGCTAGAGCAGTATTTATAACTTATTCGATTTAAAATACAAATTACTGTTCAATCATATAATCTATAATTTAATATAGTTATTAGTGGCCTATGGTGACTCAAATGAGTGATAAAGCGTGTGAAAACGGCATCAACTGTCGTACTTAATTTAGTCGTTGGAACAGTCAAACGAACACATTTTATTAAATATAGCGCGGCGTTCCATGCCTATGTTCAAACTCAGTTCAGACCGGTGTCGGTGTCGACACCGACACCGAGTTCGAGCTCGAAGTCGACATCCTATTCCGGCGCGCGTCGTATAGGTGTTCTATAATACGACAAGGAAGGAGTTAAAACATTTTAATTTAAAATTATCATCAGTAAAATAATTACGGGTTCGGAATGTATTTGCCAACGTTAAATGTAACCCTTATATATATATTCTAAGAAAACAAAAGTGATTATTTTTCACTAAAAATTTCCAGCGTACGGCGAAGGAGATACCGGTTGAAGTAAGTTTAAGTTACATTTGTCATCATCAGGTGTTCTCCAGTGCCATAAATTCGGAGGTTAACTATTCTAAAGTTGAGTTTGCGATCAGTTTGAGTTAGAAAAATTCGAATCAAGATTAGAAATCCATAAGTGTTGGCGTTGAATTCATGATTGTGAAATTTCTCGCATGCACCGTTTGACTTATTCGGCATCTGTGTGAAATCACTTATTGAATCGTATCGATTAGACAATATTGTTGTTTGCTTTTCCGAATGTATAATAGGGTTTTGATCAAACGTCTATTGAGAGAAAAAATAAAATTGTTCGTTTAACAAGTAAAAGATTTTTATGGGATTGTTTTCATTTCAGGGTTGGCGAGAATGGCGAATGGAATGTGATAGATGGAATTCTTACTCCGAACAACGAGAGCAGTTACCAAGTTACAAGCTTGCACCCTTACACAGTGTACAGTTTCAGGGTGGTGGCAGTGAATGCGATGGGGGCCAGTCACCCAAGCAAAGAGTCCTATTACATGGTTACACTTCGAGAGGGTAAGCACAAGCAGGAATTACCCTCGACTGCTTTTATAACGAGCAAGAATGTGTCGAGATCTTCTAAATTGTTCATTTCTACCTTAACTCATCCACTTTAACAAACAACATTGCACAATAAATCATAAAATCTCTGAAAAACAACTTAATTACAGCACTCGCTCAACGCTTAGGCCTCGCGTTTTGAGTCCTTTCGAATATTTTCAGCGGTAGATTTTTCATAAAAACGTTTCGACGCTGCGAGATAAATATATCGTTCCGGACGGCCCACTTAAAATTCCCCAAAACTCTCGCAAAACCACTGGAAAGTTAAGTTCAATAGCTCTTTGTTAATTATTCCGCCTAATTACGAAACAGAATGGACCGAAACGGTTCATAAAAAAAACCCTTTTTAATTATCCCGAATTATTGGCTTTTCGCGTTGAATACACTGCACCTTGCGTCGGGTATTATATAGTTTTGATAACGCTAGAATATGCAGCCCTAGGACCGAATTCCTAAACAGCTCATTACAACTCGACTGCGTCATTAAGGATATCCTAAACCTAAAGTTGACCTACATGAAGATTACCATTTGCGGCTATAGCTTTTACTAAATTAAATAAATCCTTTCGTGTACCCCATTTAAAGATACTTTAATGAATCGATAACTGTACCAGCTTTCACTTAATTGCTTTTTTAAAAAACCTACATAATCCATTTCGGCTAATCTATCCAACCATCATGCTGACAGTCTAAAGGAAACGTAATCCGCGACTCATAAGATACAGTACGTTTTATTTTATCCTCAAACTTCGACAGAGCGTTGCGTTAAAATTTCATAAAGTTATTTTTAAATTACCTTATTTTTAAAAGAACTTAGAATTAAACGTGCACTGCATACGCGACTACAACGGTATTATCTTGCAATTTCCGCGTATTACGGAAAACCAGGATTTTCCATATAAGACTTAGAAATCCCAGATCAACGATGCATCCGATTTTCTGATAAAAAAAACAAAATTCATGATGTTAAAATCCAAACCATCTACAAATACGACTGTCATACCTTAATTACATGAAAACTTTGCCATACGTGTCACAACGCTTAGATAAACTAAAGATAGGTACACACTTCCCCGTCGAGTAGAACGACAAGTGAAGCACCTACCGTTTACCCTTTTGGTTAGGCCACAATCCGCAGAAGTGCTCCAGTTCTGTTTAACGTAAGAGGGACTAATCAACTTGAAAAGGGCGCCAGCAAGTTATCACATAACCGTCGTCGAGTCAGTGATGATCGAACAGCAACGACTGTGAATCATGTCACCAAAAACAGTTATCCATATTTTTAATAATTTAATTAAATTTCTAATTTGTTGTAGATATTTTCCCAGTGCAAATTGTAACCGTTACACGAATTTATATTGTCTATGGGTTTATATGTTCTGCAGCTTGAAAATTAATGTCATGCACGGATTCTATGATAACACAAAAATGTTGTCACAATTCAGTATCGAAGCCGAATCCGAGGGACACTCCTGCAGCAATCGCACCACAGTGAGAGTTATTTTTAGTGTAAAAAACGCGAAAACAGAAGGTTTTTATTGAAATTTGTTTACAGGAAGAGGGGTCGTTCATGTGGATAATTGATAGGTCAACGAAGTTGAATAACATAATTGTGAATACTCAAATGCTCTTTTGTAGTTAATTCTAATCGAGTGTCATGAAAAATGACACTCTCAGTAATATAAACTCTATCGTGACGCGTTTAATAATATACGGTTGGTAAAAATGAAAAAACCCTCGAAAACACTTGATAAAAGTATTTTCCACGAAGAATAAAATTATTCTGAATAATACCCTTATCAAAGATTTTATTCTTCAACAAACGTGGAAACAGCGATGACGTGTTTAAAAATTGCAATCGATTTTCTGATGTAAGTACACGTATTCATTTCTAATAATAGTATGGTCTGTGAAAATCCCGTCCCTATCTAATTAAAATTGAACGTATATTTTATAGATATGACATCTTTTCACGCTATCGCTGAATATAAGCGACACTTCAACATCGGTCGAGTCAAGTTAATATTTAAAATCTCGGCGGACGGGTATTTTCCAAATACATTAAAACCCGGTTTAATGGATACATTTTTAACACATACGTCGATTTAAACTGAATTGGAACCTCTTAAAACCAATAAAGCTTTAATGTGTTTCCTAATTAAATAACCACGAAATCGATTGCCCCAGGACGGAAAAAAGCCATCCGAACGACTAAATTTTCTTGCTGCAGCGATGTCTGCAGCGTTTTGATTTCTGACAAAGCACACAAGTCGAAGAATCGCTTTAAAAAGCTGGCCCGTCAAAGGCCAGAATCTATCAAAACTAGTTTCGGGGAAATTCAATTGGGTCTTTGTCACATTGTAACGCTTTGAAAACAAAACAAATAACAGGACAATTCAGAGCTAAACGACTGGAGCCCAACGGGATTATAAAGAGAGACGGGCTATTTTAAAATTTGGACACGTCTACTATCTTTGGGAAAGTGCGAGGGCCAGAGCGAATTCTACAGCGAATTCGGAACTTCAGGTTAAATCCGTGACACGATATTGTTTAAAAGCAGTCTTGGCTGAATTTGCTTTGCATTCTTTGAGTTTATTTTCATGAAAAAAGTTGGACAGTCGAGAACCGCATACTTGTTACTTCAGGAGCACCTCAAGGGTCCGACCTGGCTCCTGTTTTGTTTTCATCATTGATTAATGACATCGTAGACGTTATTTAACGCATTTAATTCACTTAAAGTATGAAGGTAAAAATGTTGTCGAGCCGTACTTATTTTTCTAATCTTTATGGTATGGAGATTTTAAATCCGGTTTTATCATAGGAACGCAAAGAATAATTACAGGGGTTTTATACAAAACCACCGCAAGTCCGTTTCAGCGAAACCCAATACACAGGTTCTACATCTCTATTACAAGAAAATCCTCGGCTACATACATACAATTCGGAGTAAAACGATGGATCCCGATGGGATTATAAACAGTCGGGGATGTTTTAAAATTTGGACACGTCTACTATCTTTGGAAAAATGGGGTAGATAGGGCGCACTTTACTGCAACTGTACGGGGTGGCGATAATTTCGGATGAATTAGAAAAAGTCGGAATTTCGTATCGGTTTGAAAGTGTGGCACGATACTGTTGAAAAGTGTGCAATTTCGGTGAGCGGCATTTCCGACTTTATGCCTTCAACATTTCCACCCCCTGAATAAACACCCGAATACTCCGACCGTCGGTTAAGACAAGCGGAAAACGAAGAACTGTCAGCTCCCTGGAAGGCATCGGTAGACCATGGTGGTGTTGCTCGTCCAAACTGACAAGTTTGCATTTCGTTATTTTCAGCCAGTTAGTTGAAAACAATACCAAACGAATTTCATAGCTCCATTAGTAGTAATGAATCCTCAATTTCGGCGAAATTCGCCGATATTAGAGCTGTGAAATTATTTTCGCGACGATTTATGTTTTTCACGGTTATAGATTAAATCGAAAATTTATCATTTTGGTAGAAAATAAAATGCGTGAGAGATTTCGTAACGTTTTATTTTGCCGGGGTATTGATTTCAGTCCATCTGCAGAGAAGAAACATTTGTGGGATTTTTGGTGAAGCGAAAGAATAATCTCATAAGAAATTCTAACGCATTTATGTTTCATTGAATTTTGTGCTGAATATTTCTCATTTGTTTCGTGTCATTACGTGTTGGTGGCGTTTTCATTTGCGGCTACGCGAGAATGATAGAGCAGTTTGAATCGCGAATGTTGATTTGTTTTATAATATCCTCGCGGTTTAGCGTTTACTGCCCACCTACAACGGTAAAACCCGCCAGAGACGCGTGTTAAACTCAGGAAAATGGAAGAGTTACATTGTTTCGGCGATTGTAACTTTTTGAGATAAAACCTATTTAATGCCGTAATAAATGTATTTCAACCAATGACACGAGGGTGCTAATTTCTTCTGCACACTGTTAATCAGAGCAGAACTTCGCAATCAACCAAAAATAGTACATCACAAAACAGAAGACAATTTCATCGATATTCCACTAGTTCCGATTCGCTTTATACTTGCGTCTATATCGTAAAACCGAACCCCTGCCGCGTTGGCCTTCAAATCAAATATATCGGCGAATTTACAACCGACCGGGGGTATATTTTTAAACCAAGAAGGGGACGAATTTTTAGATTTTAGCAAAAGTTTAGCACGATTTTACGCCAACGTATAGCCCATACATCCTCAACCAGTTACACTAGCAGTCAGAGATATTTCAGCATACATGATTCAGCAACCACCACCGCTTTCGTCCTAACTGGGGAAAACTGCAAATGTAAGAACAACCCAAACAAAGATCGACACACCACACAAGAATCGGCATCTTTCTGACCGACCGTCAAAAACACCCGACCGTCTTACTCAGCTAATTATTGTTAAACTTACGCGAAATTGCAACGCTTACCTCAAAACTCCAACCCAAACACGTGACTCTGGCAAATTAACTTATATGTGTTCGGTTTCCTTGTTACAATCCGCCAACGAGTTTCATTGCTCTAATAACACTTCAGGGGCGATTTTGTACATAATCGCCGCCAGATGACCTCATTTAAGTTAAATGTTACGACATGCGATTCGCCCTCGATGTTGTATGTTAAAACACATTGCACAGTTGCAATAATCGGCGGTCTGGCAGCCATATACATAGCGAAATCTATTGTAACGGATGGTCTCACCGAGTCAATTAAAGCAACTGTCTAATGGCAAATTGTAGCTGTTACACTATTAATTTTTCCTCATTATTGGTTCATTAATATTTTATTGTTATTATGGATGTATTAAATACTATTACGCATTCTGATGTTACAATGATCTACGAATTAAAGGCAAAACGGTATAATTCGATAAGGACTTATAGATGCATGTGTTATTTTATCGCTGCTGTGTATATATTTCGGCTAAAGCTTGATTTATGCAA